TCTGGATGAATGCCTTCCGTATATCACAACATTATCGATTTTTCGTTGTTCGATCGGGAGAAATCCAAGTAGCCTTGTGTATATCGAGATGCTTGAATCTGGCGCTGCTAACTACCATGTTTTTTGCTGCCGCGAAGTCAATCAACCTCATGCCGTCGTCGGATGTTTCTTCGTGGAGGCTGAATTTGCCGACAGTGGGGCCAAAGATATTTTCCCTTCCGATTTTTGCATTAAAATCTTCTAACAGGATTTTAATGTCATGGTCAGGGCAGCAGTCATATGCAGTTTCTAGGCGATCGGAAAATATGTCTTTGGTCTGCTCATCTTTGTCTTCCGTCAGAGCATAACTTCTCTTTTATACGGTTAATAGCAATTCGCTCATCAACAGGAGTGAATCTGAAGACGAGGTCTTTTATTCTCCTATTCACCATAAAACCGCAGCCAAATTCACGTCTCGTTTTATGGCAGCTATAATACAGGGCGTAATCTTCTGATTTACCTACGCCTGTCCCTTTCGATCGCATTTCCTGTAAGGCTTTTAATTCTTGCGCACATCCGCCAAAGCAAAAACTGCGCCTGTTCTGTACAGGGTGTGCACATTCCAAATACAGATTCGCAGATCGTTGTCCTTTATACGTTTGCGAGGGTCGTCAACATTCGGAGGGTTTGGTTTTTTTTCTTTGTTTTTCATAGTAGGTTGGGTTTTCCGAAAGTGGGCAACTAACCCGACGCCTCTACCCATTTTTTATAGTCCTTATTTGTGAACTCGCGGCACATATTAGCTCACTATTTCATTGGGTGATGAAAACAGCTACCCCAGGTGGCCCCACGGGGAAGTCAGTGTCCACAATTGAGATGAAAGAGGGTCCAAGATAAGGACCAAGATAAAAAATTTTATAAATCTTCACCTTGAAAAAATTTCATTTTGCCAAAGATGACCCAGTTTCAAACATACACATTTCATCCATGCGACAAATTGTTAAATTTTTTCTGGTGGTGGTTATGGTTAGGTAATTTCCAACCGCCCCTAAATGAGGTAACAATTCTACGGTGACCTTCCTTTCCAACAAAAGTCGAGCTAAATGACAGATGTCCAACCCCGAGAGAAAGGTGGGCAATAAAAAATCACTCACACACACGCTTTGTTTTTGTCACCAAAAATATAGAGAGGGGTAGTTGTCCTTGCTCATGGGGTTCTATGTGGCAACTGATCATTGTCAATGACAATCGAATAGGCTTGAGATTCTAACCACTATTTTAATTCGATTTTTTAGGTTAGGTAATGAAAAATAAATTATATTTTTTTATTTCTATTTTAATTATATGTTTTATTGCCAAGGGAACATGTGCCGGTTTTAAGTGTTTTTAATGAGTCCCAAGCATAATTTTATGTTCTCCAAAATTTTGAAAGTAGTTCAGGACTAATATCTACAAATATAATTGTGGTTATGTTAAAATAATTATGTTGTTTTTTTCTTCTTAAAAATAATTATAAAATTTTAGACCATTTTTCATCATCCACTTTTGTTCTTTATTTACATTTAGTTATAAGGCCAGGTAACCGGAACCCCTGAACAAAACACGTTGGCCCTTTAAAGGCGTGTGTTGCAAACTTGTCAACATTTGCAGTTTCGAAAAAAAAAAACAAAACAAAGAGCTGCCAAAATATTCCAACAGCCACCCCTACAGCATGTGAGCAAGTGGGATATGTAATGCTACGCCTAAACTCAGTAATAATAATAGAGCAATATTGTAATCGCTTAGTGTGTGGCGAAAGTGACTACTTGGAGCATGACACTAATTAGGGTTCGAAAAAAGGTATGGATTTTTTAAAAATATTTTTTTTATGGTGGCGTAGGGGATGATTGGTTCCAAGCAACGGCTCTGATTGGCTTAAACATGGCGAAGTCCAGGCTTATATTGGTCCCTCTTTCATCTCAATTGTGGGCACTGACCTGCCCGTGGTGCCACCTGGGGTAGCTATTTTCATCACCCGATGAAGTAGTGAGCTAATATGTGCCGCGAGTTCACCCATAAGAACTATAAACAAATTGGTTGAGGCGTCGGGCGAAGTCCAGGCTTATCTTGGTCCCTCTTTCATCTCAATTGTGGACACTGACCTCCCCGTGGTGCCACCTGGGGTAGCTATTTTCATCACCCGATGAAATAGTGAGCTAATATGTGCCGCGAGTTCACCCATAAGAACTATAAAAATGGGCTGAGGCGTCGGGTTAGTTGCCCACACTCGGAAAACAGAACCTACTATGAAAAGGCAAAGAAAAAGAAAACCAAACCCACCTAATTTTGACGACTTCCGCCAACGTATAAAGGACCACGATCTGTGAATCTGTACTTGGAAAGTGCGCACGTTGTACAGAACAGGCGCAGTGTTCGCTTTGGCAGATGTACTCAAAAAGTACAAAGCCGAGAAACATCCGACAACGGCATGTGGTTGATTAACTTCGCGGCAGCAGAAATATGGTAGTTAGCAACACCAGATTCATGCATCTCGATGTACACAAGGCCACTTGGATTTCTCCCGATCGTACAACGGGAAATCAAATCGATAATGTTGTGATAGACGGAAGGCATTCATCCTGTGTTTTAGACGCCCGATCGATCCGGGGAGCGAATATCGATTCGGACCATTACCTTGTGGCAGCCAAGGTTCGCACCCGTCTTAATGTAGCAGCAAAGGTGCGATCTAATGTAACACGGACATTTGACGTCGAAAAGCTGCAAACACAACAGATAGCATAAGCCTACAACGAGTAAAACACCAAACCGAAGGTTTTGGTGCAGGCTCATCCTCCTGTAGAGATGAAGAAGGAAACCTGGTGACAGAAACAGACAGCGTGCTGAGGATCTGGAAGGAGCATTTTGAAAAACTTCTGGTATCAAATAGTAGCGGTGAAGAGGATAGCCCAGAACCAATAATCTGTGCCAAATAATCCTGGCCAAATCGACTATAAAGCCGCATTCGACAGCCCTATCCGTTCAGAGGTGTACAAACCCAAGTCTGCTTTTGGCATTCCTGCAAAATTAATACGGCTATGCAGGACAACTTTAACTGCACAAGATCGGCAGATAAAGTCTGAAAGGACTTCTCGGAGCCCTTCAATACCGAACGAGCATTCAGACAAGGTGACAGTTTGTCGTGTCACCTTTTTAACATCCTGCTGGGAAAGGTCATACGAGAGGCAAAATTGAACAGAAATGGTACACTCGGTAAATCAAATAACACCAGTTACTCGCCTACGCCGATGACATCGACATAATGGGTCGAACACTGAGACGGTAACAGCCACCTTTGAACAAATTGAGAAGGAGTCTGCCAAAGTGTGTCTGACAGTAAATGGCGAGAAGACCAATATGATGATCTGATAAATAAAACGAATGATATCAGTTTTGAAATTCGGGGAAGGATAGTGATGGCCACCAGATGCTGCTATGGTCTGAGTAAGCAACTCAAAAACAAGGCCACCTCCTGCCAGACAAAACTCACACTCTACAAGACGCTGATACTACCCGTGCTGTTATACGGATTTGAAGCATTGGTACTTGCGCAGACAAATGAGGCAGCTCTTGGAGTGTTTGAGAGGAAAATTCTCCGAAAGATCTATGGGCCGATCAGCGTTGACGGTGAATATCGCCATCGAATGATCCATGAGTTGTACCAGCTATTCTCGGACATCGACATTGTTAGACGTATTGAGCTGCAGCGACTACGTTGGCTAGGTCAAGAATGGATGAAGATGACCCGGCCTAGAAGGCATATAAAAGCGAACCAGCTGATAGTTCCCGCAGAAGGGGAAGGCCACGACCGACGCGCCTAGAAATCTTTTTTAAGCCCGGCTTATGCAACGAAAGTTCTGTCAAAAGCCAGCTAAGAAGAAGGATTTTTTAAAAATATTTTTTATGGGACTTTTAAAGGGTGTGGATTTTTTTTTAAATATTTTTTAGGATCGTGGATTTTTTAAAAATAGTTTTTAAGGTCTATACCAAGGCGTGGATTTTTTTAAAATATTTTTAAGGGTCTTTTACAAGGCGTGTGTTTTTATTAAAATCTTTTTTAAGGGTCTTTTACAAGGCGTGTGTTTTTATTAAAATCTTTTTTAAGGGTCTTTTACAAGGCGTGCATTTTTTTAAAGATATTTTTTAAGGGTCTTTTACAAGGCGAGGATTTTATTTTCAAATTAGTTCCATGCCCAACTGGGTATATGGTCTATGGCCATAACCATGAATGTGTAGTTTAGTTTTTTTTTTGCGCTAAAACTCTCCCCTGGTTTGGTGGTGTTTTCTTCGAACTTTTTGTGTTTTTTATTAATTGAATTAGTCAATGATATTTGACACATTTGTTCTGCTTTCGAATAGCTCACAAAACCGTGGTGTAGAGTTCTGTTCTGTTCAACGTTTGTTTTATATGAATGAGTAGGGGTGGTGGTGCATTTGCGAGGGGTGAGGTGGTGCGGATGGCAGTGTCCACCGCCGTCACCGCCTTCAATTGATCACTTTCATATAAAATATGTTTATTCAAACATAATAATTCTCATTCCGTCAAAGATAGCCAAACTAAACAGATCGGTTCGCCAGCTACCGCCAACAAAATTATATCGGGTTTGGCTTTCTTTCTGCTACCACCACTCTTGAACAATTTTATTTTTCGTTCTGTTCTTTTTGGCAAGAGATCACAAAAATTACGACAACGACGAAGACAACATTGTAGGATTCTTTAGTTTTAAATTACGTGAGAGACACGCGTAACATCGAAACACTACGCAATGGTTTTTTTTGGTTTGAAAACTCGTGAGAATTAACGCTTAGTGGACAATAAAATCTATTCGTTGCGGTTGTAAAAAAAAATTGTGAAAGAAAAAAAAATAAACAAAAAATTAAAAAAAAATATTTCAAAGTGAAAAATAAAAGCAAAACAACAAATTTCATCACGAGCAAGTCACGTCGTCTCCCCCATTGGAATACCGGAAATATTTCATTCGAATATGCAATTAACCAACAAATGTTCGAATGGTTTCTGGAGTGAATTTCGCTTGAAAAATTTCGGTTTCAAATATGATCAGCTGGATGAGTTCTATCGATCACAGGTATGGATCAAATCAATGTTTTGAAATTTAAGAGAGAAAAAAATAGTGGATCTAGGAAATTTAAGAAAAATTGATTGCACAACGTAATATTGAAATGGCTGTGTTTGTCATATCGGGCAAAAAATATATTTAAAAATATGTATACAAATAAAAAGGGACGAATGATTTATTTTTAATATTTTTTTTTCTGTTCATGCATTCTTGAATATGAGATAGATGTATTAGGGTGTAATGAGAAATAAATTCTATAAAATTAAATTTTAGGGACCAACACAAGGAATGGATTTTTTAAAGAATATTTTTTTCACCAAGGCGTGGATTTTTTAAAGAATATTTTTTCAAGGTCCCACCATCACCAAGGCGTGGATTTTTTAAAGAATATTTTTTCAAGGTCCCACCATCACCAAGGCGTGGATTTTTTAAAGAATATTTTTTCAACGTCCCACCATCACCAAGGCGTGGATTTTTTAAAGAATATTTTTTCAACGTCTCACCATCACCAAGGCGTGGATTTTTTAAAGAATATTTTTTCAACGTCCCACCATCACCAAGGCGTGGATTTTTTAAAGAATATTTTTTCAACGTCCCACCATCACCAAGGCGTGGATTTTTTAAAGAATATTTTTTCAAGGTCCCACCATCACCAAGGCGTGGATTTTTTAAAGAAAAATTTTTTCAACATCCCACCATCACCAAGGCGTGGATTTTTTAAAGAATATTTTTTCAACGTCCCACCATCACCAAGGCGTGGATTTTTTAAAGAATATTTTTTCAACATCCCACCATCACCAAGGCGTGGATTTTTTAAAGAATATTTTTTCAAGGTCCCACCATTACCAAGGCGTGGATTTTTTATAGAATATTTTTTCAAGGTCCCACCATTACCAAGGCGTGGATTTTTTAAAGAATATTTTTTCAAGGTCCCACCATCACCAAGGCGTGGATTTTTTAAAGAATATTTTTTCAAGGTCCCACCATCAGCAAGGCGTGGATTTAAAAAAAAGAATATTTTTTCAAGGTCCCACCATCACAAAGGCGTGGATTTTTTAAAGAATATTTTTTCAAGGTCCCACCATCACCAAGGCGTGGATTTTTTAAAGAATATTTTTTCAAGGTCCCACCATCACCAAGGCGTGGATTTTTTAAAGAATATTTTTTCAAGGTCCCACCATCACCAAGGCGTGGATTTTTTAAAGAATATTTTTTCAAGGTCCCACCATCACCAAGGCGTGGATTTTTTAAAGAATATTTTTTCAAGGTCCCACCATCACCAAGGCGTGGATTTTTTAAAGAATATTTTTTCAAGGGCTACCAATCGGCGTGGATTTTTTAAAGAATATTTTTTCAAGGGCTACCAATCGGCGTGGATTTTTTAAAGAATATTTTTTCAAGGGCTACCAATCGGCGTGGATTTTTTAAAGAATATTTTTTCAAGGGCTACCAATCGGCGTGGATTTTTTAAAGAATATTTTTTCAAGGGCTACCAATCGGCGTGACTTTTTTTTAAAAAAACCGATATAACTAAGTTCGCTTTGATATTTAAGAGAGGTTTGTAATAAAAATTCGACACCCATTCATAGCCCTGGTTTTTGTTGTTGTTGCTATTGTTATCATCGATCAATAATGACGATCGATTAATTGTAATTTTCCTATTTGCTGAGAACCATTTGATGTGTTTTTGTTGTATTTTGACATTTGACTTTTTCAATCAGTTAACGAAAAAAAGAAAGATCCATGACGTTGATGGGATGGTGTCACCGCTTTCGACACCAGCTGACATTGTTGTTGTTGTTGTTGTTTGTTTTTGTGTGTAAAACCAGGGAAAATCAATTAAATGCATTTCATTTGGATAATTTCCCAGAAGAAAAAAAAGAAGAAGAAGAAACAAATATTGTAATTGATAATTTAATAAAAATTGGAGGCTTGATCGGCCGTACCTACACCACTGATTTTAATATGGGCATGAGTGTGTGTGCGTGGTGCTCTCTTTTTGTTCGTGGTATTCAAATTGTTGTGAGAATTTCGTTTTGAATATCTTCAATGACAAGATAATAGTTTTTCTGTTTCAGGGCCGGAAGGTAATTTTTTCTTCCTCATCTAAATGAGGAAGTTTTTTCGTGTTCTTGAAAAAAATATTTTTTAAAACATCCACGCCTATTAAATATTTTTACAAAATCCACGCCTTTTGTTGGTCCCTAAACAACATTTTTAAAAATCCACGCCCTGTAAAGGACCTTAAAGAAATACTTTTTAAAAATCTCACCTTATATTACTTACTTAGCTGGCTTGTGACAGAACTTTCGTTCCATAAGCCGAGCCGGTCTTTTGCGCAGTTTTTCCCATTTGAAAGATCGTATTCGGCAATGTTGTCTTCCACTTGATCTTTCCATCTTATTCGTGGTCTTCCCCTTCTGCGTGAACCATCAGCTGGTTCGCTTTTATATGCCTTCTGGGCAGGGGCACTTCATCCATTCTCACAACATGACTAAGCCAACGTAGTCGCTGCAGCTCAATACGTCTAACAATGTCGATATCCGAGAATAGCTGGTACAACTCGTGGTTCATTCGACGGCGATATTCACCCGTCATCATAGATCATTTCAGAATTTTTCTCTCAAACACTCCAATAGCTGCCTCATCTGCTTGCGTAAGTACCCATGCTTCAGATCTATATAACAGCACGGGTAGTATCAGCGTCTTGTAGAGTGTGAGTTTGGTCTGGCGGGAGGTGGCCTTGTTTATGAGTTGCTTACTTAGACCATAGTAGCATCGGTTGGCCATCATCCGTTTTGTTTATGGCGGTACCAAGGTATATAAAATCTTTGACTACCTCGAAGCTGTAGTTCTCAAGTTCCACAGTTAGTCCGAGTCTACTTGCGCGTTGATACCATCAGCTTGGTCTTCTCGCCGTTTACTGCCAGACCCACTTTGGCAGACTCCTTCTCAATTTGTTCAATGGTGGCTGTTACCGCTCTCCGTGTTCGTTCCATTATGTCATCGGAGTAGGCGAGTAACATGTGTTGTTTGGTGTACAGAGTGTAATTTCTGTTCACCTTTGCGTCTCGTATGACCTTTTCCAGCAGAATGTTAAAAATGTCATACGACAAACTGTCACCTTGTCTGAATCCTCGTTCGGTATTGAAGGGCTCCGAGAGATCCTTTCCGACTTTAACTGCTGATCTTGTGCCACTTAATGTTATCCTGCATAGCCGTATTAATTTTGCAGGAATGCCAAACGCAGACATGGCTTTAAACACCTGTGAACGGATAGGGTGTCGAATGCGGCTTTATAGTAGACGAATAAGTGGAATGTGTCGATGTGTTTTTCGGGGTCTTTTCCAGGATTAGGCGCAGAGTGAAAGTCTGGTCAATGGCGGATTTGCCAGGTCTGAAGCCATTTGTTTCAGTCGTTCACACAGTACGCTGGATAGCACTTTATATGCGATGGGAAGGAGACTTATTCCTCTATAGTTGGCACAAATCGTCTTGTCTCCTTTTTTGTGCACGGGACACAGGATGCTGAGTTTCCACACATGATGCATGCTCCTTACCAGCATCTGACCACCAGTCTTGAATAGTTCGGCTGGTAACCCATCAGCTCCTGCTGCTTTATTATTCTTCAGCCGATTGATTGCTATTCTGACCTCATCTTGGCTAGGTGGTATTCACTCTATACCGTCATCTATTATTGGTTCTGGTGTATCCTCTTCACCGCTACTATTTAATACCAGAAGTTTTTCAAAATGCTCCTTCCAGATCCTCAGCACGCTGTCTGTATCTGTCACCAGGTTTCCTTCTTCATCTCTACAGGAGGATGTGCCTGAACCAAAACCTTCGGTTTGGTATTTTACCCGTTTGTAGAATTTCCGGACTTCATTCTGACTCCTGTACATCTCGATGTGCTCACGCTCATGTTTTTGTTGTTCTTTCTTCTTTTTCTGAGAACACGTTTCTCCTCTCTCCTTTCCTCCGGATAGTTCTCCATCACATTACGTATTGCTACTGTCCGCAAGGTTACTCCCTATACGCTGCGTTTTTCATATCAGTAGCATTACGTCACTCCTGATCGTACCACTGATTTGTTGATGGTGGTCTTTGGTACCCAATTGTTGCTTTTGCTGCAGTTTGTAGGGTGTGGGCCACTGTGCTTCTATATTATTATCGGGACAAGGGGTGCTTTCGTCCAGCAGTTGGGTAAGTTCAGCGGAGTAGGCCTCGGCTACCTGTTGTGTTTGCAGCTTTTCGACGTCGAGTTTCCGTGTTGTGTAAGATTGCACCTTTGCTGCAACATTAAGACGGGTGCGTACCTTGGCTGCCACAAGGTAATGTTCCGAATCGATATTCGCTCCACGGATCAATCGGGCGTCTGGATGAATCCCTTCCGTCTATCACAACATGATCGATTTGATTTCCCTTTGTTCGATCGGGAGAAATCCAAGTGGCCTTGTGTATATCGAGATGCTTGAATCTGGTGCTGCTAACTACCATGTTTTTAGCTTGCCGCGAAGTCAATCAACGTCATGCCGTTATCTGATGTTTCTTCCTGGAGGCTAAATTTTCCGACGGCGGGGCCATAGATATTTTCTCTTCCGATTTTTGCATTAAAATTTCCTAGCAGAATTTTAATATCATGGCCAGGGCAACGGTCATATGCTGTTTCTAGGCGCTCGTAAAATATGTCTTTGGTCTGTTCATCTTTATCTTCAGTCGGAGCATGGGCGCAAGTGAGATTGATGTAGAGAAATTTCGCTTTTATACGGATTATAGCAATTCGCTCATCTACTGGAGAGAATCTGGAGACGAGGTCTTTTATTTTCCTGTTAACCATAAATCCGCAGCCAAATTCATGACTCGTTTCATGGCAGCTATAATACAGGGCGTAATCATCTGATTTACTTACGCCGGTCCCTTTCCATCGCATTTAATGTAAGGCAATAATATTGGCTTTGTACTTTTTAAGTTCATCCGCCAAAGCGAACGCCTGTTCTGTACAACGTGCGCACATTCCAAGTGCAGATTCGTAGATCGTGGTCCTTTATACGTTTGCGGGGGTCGTCAACATTAGGTGGGTTTGGTTTTCTTTTTCTTTGCTTTTTCATAGTAGGTTGGGTTTTCCGAGAGTGGGTAACTAACCCGACGCCTCAACCCATTTTTTTATAGTTCTTATGGGTGAACTCGCGGCACATATTAGCTCACTATTTCATCGGGTGATGAAAATAGCTACCCCAGGTGGCACCACAGGTGGTCAGTTTCCACAATTGAGATGAAAGAGGTTGGAAGGACCAAGATAAGCCTCGACTTCGCCATGTTAAAGCCAATCAGAGCCGTTGCTTGGTATCTATCATCCCCTACGTCACACAAACATCTTGCCTAAAAAAATATTTTTAAAAAAATTCAACGCCGTGTACGGATACCAACAAAAATATTTTTAAAAAATCCAACGCCTTGTACGGATACAAAAAAAAATATTTTTAAAAAATCCACGCCTTATGTCGGTCCCTGAAAAAATATTTTTAAAAAATGAGGATGAATCATATCAGGAAGTATTTTGGCGATTGCCAAAATGTTCGCGTGCTACCGCACTTAATATTTCCCCTCCTCCCTCTCCCCTCTACGATAATTTTTTAACTACATTTTCTGTCAATAATTCCTAACGCAAATTCCTTTGATCGATGTGTCACAATATCCGACTTAATTTAATTTGTTTTTATTCGGCGGCTTCTTTTTTTTTTGCAATTTGTTTGGCGTCTCAACAGATTGACCATAAACTACGCCTATACGACATTCGGCGGAATATCTCAAAATGCCAAGAGAAAAAACAATAGAGGAACTGTGCGCTTTTAATTTTCAAAATTGTTTTTGTAGTGGCGGTGGTACACACACATACATAGATAATCTATAATCATTACAAATGATGTACATTAGGGTGGAGGTGTTAGAAAAAAAGAATTTTTTTCTGGCATGGGGCCAACTAGCACACCCTTTCGCAATGGGTAACTGACCTACACAAACACATGAAGAGGTTATTGACTGGCATTTATTTCGTTCGGCATAAAATTGGGAAGTATTTTTTAACCTCTAAAATTCTTAATATGAGGTCAGAGAGGACCCGCAGATGACCACCTACATGTGCCTGAATTTTTAGAAGGGTTCCATTTATAGTCTAACCGGATAACAGTTCCTCTATGATGCCATTCTTTAAAAATAAATTCCATCTTTTGAAAATCTACCATTCCGACCCACTCTTATATACTATTTTACTTGTGTGCAAAAAAATATCTGAAGCACATGCTGCCATTTACAACCAAGTTCAAGTTGACACCAAAAATTGATGATGACAAACTTACACACAAACAACACCCATCCACACATATGACCACTGACAGATGTATGCCTGGGAAAGTGTGCCAAACAATTGTGCTGCGTTGGGGGTACGCTGAGAGATGGGGTTACCTACACTCACTTGATTATAATTAATTTTTGAGCAGATAATTTAATGATCTGCTATGGTGGTGGATGGATGGTCCAACAAACCAACCAAAACTCAAGTTCACTTCGATGATAATTTTTGGTGACGTATAAAAATAAAATAATCGTAATCGAATGGATGACTTAGCACGTCGATGTGGGAATGTTCTACAACAAATAGGCATACTGACACCCATACTCACAGTAACACAAGGCGTAGTTTTTTTTTAAATATTTTTTCAGGGTCTATACCAAGGCGTGGATATTTTTTCAGGATCTATACCAAGGTTGGGATATTTTTTCAGGGTCTATACAAAGGCGTGGATATTTTTTCAGGGTCTATACCAAGGCGTGGATATTTTTTCAGGGTCTATACTAAGGCGTGGATATTTTTTCAGGGTCTATACCAAGGCGTGGATATTTTTTCAGGGTCTATACCAAGGCGTGGATATTTTTTCAGGGACCAACACCAAGAGGCGTGGATTTTTTAAAAATATTTTGTCAGGCTCTATACCAAGGCGTGGATATTTTTACAGGGTCTATACCAAGAGGCGTGGATTTTTTAAAGATATTTTTTCAGGGTCTATACCAAGGCGTGGATATTTTTACAGGGTCTATACCAAGAGGCGTGGATTTTTTAAAGATATTTTTTCAGGGTCTATACCAAGGCGTGGATATTTTTTCAGGGTCTATACCAAGGCGTGGATATTTTTTCAGGGTCTATACCAAGAGGCGTGGATTTTTTTTAAAAATATTTTTTCAGGGTCTATACCAAGAGGCGTGGATTTTTTTTAAAAATATTTTTTCAGGGTCTATACCAAGAGGCGTGGATTTTTTAAAAATATTTTTTCAGGGTCTATATTAAGAGGCGTGGATTTTTTAAAAATATTTTTTCAGGGTCTATACCAAGAGGCGTGGATTTTTTAAAAATATTTTTTCAGGGTCTATACCAAGAGGCGTGGATTTTTTAAAAATATTTTTTCAGGGTCTATACCAAGAGGCGTGGATTTTTTAAAAATATTTTTTCAGGGTCTATACCAAGAGGCGTGGATTTTTTAAAAATATTTTTTCAGGGTCTATACCAAGAGGCGTGGATTTTTTAAAAATATTTTTTCAGGGTCTATACCAAGAGGCGTGGATTTTTTAAAAATATTTTTTCAGGGTCTATACCAAGAGGCGTGGATTTTTTAAAAATATTTTTTCAGGGTCTATACCAAGAGGCGTGGATTTTTTAAAAATATTTTTTCAAGAGGCGTGATTTTTCTCGACTATAAGGACTATCGTCTTCTCCTCTATAATCTCTACTCTCCTCTCCTTATCATCTAATCTTTGTGTACTCTCCCAATTTTCCTACATTAACTAATCTCCCCCGTTTTTGTTTCGTTTCTTTCCTTTTCATTTTAGTGGCAAACCGGCGAACGCAGTTTCCTCTTTCTGTTGTATCGATGGATATGGGCTGGATTTTTCCTCGGAGTATTTCTGTCATGTCTCGTTTTGCAATTTTCCGAAGGCAAATATTTTATTTTCCTAACAAATTGGGGTATTATGCTGTGCACGGCCACCCAGTTGATAGCTGCCGTTTTGGCTACACAATGGTATTTCGATATAGATGCTGTCCGCTCATCGGCCTACGAAGTTAGTCAACTTAGGAAGACACCGACATTGATAAAATTCTATTGGCTGCTGCATGATATTTCATTGCCGTTGGCGTTAATTATCACGACAATCTATTGGACATTTTTACACGGGAAGATGAGTAAGTTGAGGCCATAGGCAATATTTTTCTGGATTAACTTAGGAGGATTCAGGAGCCTGAGGAGATATTTTTTTCTATAGAAAAAAAATCCTCAGGGGCTTGATCTGAGTTTTTTTCTATAGAAAAGAAATTCTCAGGGACCTGATCTGATTTTTTCTACAGAAAAAAGTTTCTCAGGGGCCTGAGCAATTTTTTTCCTCAGGGGCCTGAGTAGATTTTTTTTTCTATAGAAAAAAAGTTCCTCAGGGGCCTGAGCAGATTTTTTTATAGAAAAAAATTTCTCAGCGGCCTGAGATTTTTTTCTATAGAAAAAAATTCCTCAGTGGCCTGAGCAGAATTTTTTCTACAGAAAAAAATTCCACAGTGGCTTGAGAAGATTTTTTTCTATTGAAAAAAATTCCTCAGTGGCCTGAGCAGATTTTTTCTATCAAAAAAAAATCCTCAGTGGCCTGAGCAGATTTTTTTCTATCAAAAAAAATCCTCAGTGGCTTGAGCAGATTTTTTCCTATCGAAAAAAAATCCTCAGTGGCCTGAGAAGATTTTTTTCTATAGAAAAAAATTCCTCAGTGGCCTGAGCAGATTTTTTTCTATAGAAAAAATTCCTCAGTCGCCTGAGCAGTTTTTTTTTTCTATAGAAAAAATTCCTCAGTGGCCGGAACAGATTTTTTGTATATAAAAATATTCCTCAGTGACCTGAGCAGATTTTTTGTATAGAAAAATATTCCTCAGTGACCTGAGCAAATTTTTTTGTATAGAAAAATATTACTCAGTGACCTGAGCAGATTTTTTTCCATAGAAAAAAATTCCTCAGAGGCCTAAGCAGATTTTTTTCTAAAAAAAAATCCTCATGTGACTGAGCAGATTTTTTTCTATAGAAAACAAATTTTTGAGCAGCAGATGTTTTTCTATTGAAAAAATTTCCTAGGGGCCTGAGCAGATTTTCTATAGAAAAAAAATCCTCAGATGTCTGAACCGATCTTTAAAAAAATTAAATTTTCTCATTCTAATTTTTTCTTCTTCTTCCCATTTGCAGACAAACCCAATCGCTTTCCCGTCATGAGTTTTGTAACGCATTGCATGAATTCCGTCTTTATGTTGGTGGATTTTCTTGTTGTAGCATTTCCCGTGCGCCTTCTGCACGCCATCTATGCCATGTTGCTGCCCATCGTTTTTTGTCTATTCACTGTGGTCTATTTCTTTTGTGGCGGAACCGATGAGTAAGCATTCCCACTTAGGTGACACATTTTCATTATTTCTAATCGGTTTTGATTTTCTTCCTCTTCTTCTTCCAGCTATGGTAACCATTATATCTATCCTCTGCTGGATTGGACAGTGCCTAGCCGTGGCATAATCACATTTGCCGAAGTTTTTGCTCTCTACTGCATTTATTGTCTGCTCCTTTATGTCCTGTATAAATTTAAGCGATTTCTGCATCGTTCATTGAGTGCTGTGTGGTCACCCCACTGTGTGGGATTGATTTAAGAGGGGAGTCTATTTTTCTAAGTATCAACATTTTCATAGGGATCCTCGGTTATCCTTCGAGTAGAAGTTCGACCTTAATTTGGTCGATTTTTTTATTTCATATTTTTTTAAAATATTTCAATATTTTTTTAATATTCGGGAGTTCTTTTATAAGAAAGTATTTAAAAAAAAGTATTACCAACACATTCTCATGTTTAGATTTTTTATAAAAGACACATCTACATACATAAATACGTATAAGTGAAGAGTCTGAAGATTTTTTTGCGGACTTAAAAAAAATCATATTTGAATATTTAAGGCTAAATTCCCTCCAAAGAAAGTTTAAAAATAAGTTTTTTTTTTTAATAAATTACAGTAAGATCGGGTCATGAGGACCTCAAAAAAAATCGAATATTTCAAGATTTTTGTATAAATCATCGATGTTCGTTATAAGCGAATTTTATTTTATTCAGGTCTACAATTATTTTGTCCAATAAGTATTATAATAATTTTTCTATATATATAACGAATTGCATGTAAAAAATAGGTTTAAACTCTAGTTGTAGTTGTTGTAAAGAAATAGAGAAAAAAATAAATATCCTATTTGTGTTCCTTATATACGAAATAAAAAATAAATAAATATAAAAACATATTTGATATTAATTTTAAAATAAATAATTATTTTCTGTAGAATAAAAAATCCTTAGAGGTATGATGAAAATATCCTCAGAGGCCTCAGGAGACTTTTTTCTATAGAAAACAATTCCTCAGGAGACTGAAGAAACTTTTTTCTATAGAAAAAACTCCTCCGTGTCCTGAGCAGATAGAAAAAAAAAATCCTCCATGTCCTGAGCAGATTTTTTTTCTATAGAAAAAAATCCTCCATGTCCTGAGCAGATTTTTTTTCTATAGAAAAAAATCCTCCGTGACCTGGGCAGATTTTTTTCTATAGAAAAAAATTCCTCCGTGTCCTGAGCAGACTAATCAGTGCGCTGGGGAGTCTTTTTTTTTCTATAGAACACAATTCCTCGGGAGTCTGAGGAAACTTTTTTCTAGAGAAAAAAAATCCTCAGTAAGCTGAGGAGGTTTTTCTGCTATAGAAAAAAACCCTTAATAAGCTGAGCTTAATAAGCCAAGGAGACTATTTTTCTATAGAAAAAATAGTCTAAGGTCTGAGGATTCTTACTTTCTGTAGAAAAAAATACCCAGTGGGTTATCCTGCATAGCCGAATTAGTTTTGCAGGAATGGCAAATGTAGACATGGCTTTAAACACCTCTGAACGGATAGGGCTGTCGACGGCTTTAGAGTCGACGAATAGGTGGGTTTTTTTCCAGGATTTGGCGCAGAGTGAAAATCTTGTCGATGGTGGATTTGCCAGGTCTGAAGCCACATTGGTATGGTTCAATAATGTCATTGACCATTGTATTCAGTCGTTCACATAGTACGCTGAATAGCACTTTATATGCGATGGGAAGAAGGCTTATAGTTGGCACATATCGTCTTGTCTTCTTTTTTTGTGCACGGGACACAGGATGCTGAGGTTCCAATCATTGGGCATGCATTCCTCTAGCCAAATTGTACTAATCAGCTGATCCATGCTCCTTACTAGCATCTGACCACCAGTCTTGCATAGTTCGGCTCTGAGGAGCCTTTTTTCTATAAAAAAAATCGTTGGTGCGTTGAGGAGTCTTTTTTCTATATAAAAAAGGGGTGGTGGTCTGAGGAGACTTTTTTCTATAGGAAAGAAAACGCAATGAGGTGAGTAGGGTGAGAAAATTCTTGTCGTATAAAAAAATCTGAAGCCTAAGACGATATTTTTCTATAGATACAAATATGTCTTCGAGGCCTGAGCAGATTCTGTTTTCTGTGGAAAACATTTGCAGTTGCCTGAATAGATTGTATTCTATGGAAAAAATCCTCAGTGGACTGTAAAGACTTTTTCTGTAGAAAAATACTCAAACGGATGGACAGACCATTTCTTTATGAAAAAAAAACGTCAGAGTTCTAAGCTGATTTATTTATGAAGAAATCCTTAGAGGCCTTAATTTGGTTTTTTTGTGTAAAAAAATCCTCATAGACAGCTTTTTTCTATAGAAAAAATTCTCAGAGAGCGGAGCAGATTTTATTGCAGACACACTTTCCTCAGATCAGCTAAGGTATCTGATTTTTCTATACAAAATATTCATTAGAGGCCTGCAATTTTTTATATGGAAAAAAATCCTCAGAGCATAAGAAGATTCAGCAGCCATTATATTACCTTTATCCCAGTGGGTGTTTTCCTAAGATGACAAACTTCTTAGGCAGATCGAAATAATAAAAAGTGAGTTGAAGGCAACCAGGTGAGATTCTTTGTAGGTGTCTGAAAAAGGAGTATTTATTGGCGACCAATAGAGTATATAAATCCGATCTAAAGGTAGGCTCTACAGGCGACCAGAAAAAGGGTAATTAAAGGCGACTATAGAAGAGACCAGTAGGGATGTATAGCCGAGCAGAAGGGAGTATGTATAAGCGACAGGTAGTGTTTATAGGCAATAATAATGGGGTATTTAGGCGCGATTAGAATGAATGATTTATAGACGATGAGATGGGAATCATTTTGAGGAGGGAGTATTTGTATGGCATCGTAATGCACACCTTATAAGTTATCGGAAGACTATCTTTATATTGAAGAGTATCTATAGGGTATTGTAAGGGACCAGATATGGGTTTCATATGTCACCAGAAGAAGGTTTCGTTAACGACTGTAACTGACTATAATTTTAGGCGACCAAAAGAGTGTCTCTATAAGAGAAAAAAACATAAGGTGGTCTTTATAGGCGATCAGAAGTTGGTTTTTAAGGTTTTAAGTGGTGATAGTCTTTTCAAAAAATAAATTTAAATAAAATCATGCTGAGAAATTTTTCGAAAAAATGGTCTTCTATGTGAAGACCTATATTATGACTTCCGATCCCCACATTAGCCTACCTTTTGACCTCTAGCCTAAGGTCACTTAAATTAAAAGTCTCCTTCTCCTCCATGTCAACTTCAACCACTTTAATGGCTGAGTACTGTTTCTGACACATTGACTTTAGTGGCGCTATCGTTCTCCTCAGCAAGCTGGGGTTTCGTGCTGTTGCCGCTGCGTTGCTGGTGTTATTGTTGTTGTTTTTGCTTTGGCTTTGACTTTCTCATGTGTTTATGCGACAGAGAAGAAGTAGAAAAGAAAAAAATTCTGAACTTGCAATCCGACGATGCTGGCTCGTTTCTTTTCTTTATTTTTTCTGCTATGGCTTCCGAATCAAGAATCATGTTATCATTCAGAATGACTTGGACCTCAAAAGTGAACGAACCACGGGCGAGCAACGGAATTTTTACTTCGAAAAATCGTAGATAGTGAAAAAAATAAATTAAAAAAAAAATCGGAATGAAATATTTCACCAGCAGCCTGAATTGTTTTCGTTGTGAATTTAAATATAAAAATTTGAATTTTCGTTACAATCAGCAGGAGGAATTCTATAAATCGCAGGTGTGTATGAGAACGAGAGAGATAGATGATGAGGCTCCGGTACAGATGCACTTAGAGGATTCTCTATAAACGAACTTGAGGGGTTTGATATCGACAAGTTAGAGAATGTATTTATAGACGATCAGAAGAGAGTCTAATAGGAGGAAGAGAGTTAGAGAGACATCCATATAGGGTGTCTTTATTGGCGACCAGAGGCGGGCCTTTATAGGCCACCAGAAGGTGTTTTTATGGGCGATTGGAAGAAATGTTTATATGCGGCCAGAAAGTGGTTTGTATTGGTGACCAGTAGAGGTCTTTATAGACCTCCAGAAGGCGACTAGCAGAAAATCTTTATTTATATGCGACCTGAAGAGGATATTTATCGGCGATAAGAAGAAGGTATTTATAGGCGATCAGAGGATGGTATAGGCAATCTGAAGAGGGTCTTTAAAGGCGACCTGATAGGGGACTTCCTGGACGACCAGAAGAGAATCTTTAGGCCACATGAAATGGGTATTTATGGGCGACCTGAAGAGGGTCTTTATGGGCGACCTGAAAAGGATTTTTGTAGGCGTCCGAAGGAGAATCTTTACAGGCGACCAGAAGAGTATATTTATTGGCGATAAGAAGAAGGTATTTTACAGAAGAGAACCTTTATAGGCGAACTGAAGAGGATATTTATAGGCGACTGGAGAGGGTTTTTATGGACGACCTACAGAGGAGGGGACTTCCTGGACGACCAGAAGAGAATCTTTAAGCCACATGAAGAGGGTATTTATAGGCGACTAGAAGAGGATATTTAATGGCGATAAGAAAAAGGTATTTATAGGCAACCAGATGAGGATATTTATAGTCGACCTGAAGAGGTTCTTTTTAGACGGGTCTTTATAGGCGACCTCAAGAGCGTTTTTTAAGCGGCCAGAAGAGGCGGACCATTATAGGCGATTTGAATGCCTTTGTTGGCGATTTGAAGAAATTTGTATAGGCGACTTGAAAGTGCTTTGTATTGGTCCCCAGAAGAGGTCTTTATAGGCGTCCAGGAGGCGAGAAGAAAGTGGTTTGTATTGGTGATCAGAAGAGGTCTTTATATGCGACCAGAAGAGGTTTTTATAGGCGATCTGAAGAGGGTATTTTTTAGGCGACTAGAAGAAGTGGGTCTGTATAGGCAACCAGAATAAGTTATTTATTGGAGACAAGAAGAGAATCTTCATAGACGATAAGAGGGTCTTTGTAGGCGACCAGAATAAGGTATTTATAGGCGACCAGAAGAGGATTTTAATACACGACCAGAAGGGGAACTTTAAAGGCGAAACAGAAAATATGTTTAGAGGCGACCTGAAGAGGATCTTTATAGGCAAATCGAATATGATTTTTAGGCGATTAGAAGAGGTTCCTTATAGGCGACCAGAGAACAGTCTCTATAGGCCACTAGAATTGGGTTTATATGGACCTTCAGAACGTGATATTTATAAATGTAAAAAAGGGAGTATTTGTAGGGACCACAATAGGTTTTTACAGGCAACTAGAAGGTAGTTTTTCATGCGACTTGGAGGGAGTTTTTATAAGTGACCACGAGGCGATCGGAACAGAGGTTTCTTTATTACCATTTAATTATGTCACACTCAATTAAAATTATTTATTCATTCGCAAACGATTAAACGGCAATTAAAATAAAATCACGTAACGCTCAGTCACACTTACTCAAAACAATGTTGTGGGTCTAAAAAAAATAATAATCGGAAAAAAGTCATAACGAACTAGTTCAAGTTGAATACGCATATTGTAATATCGAAACCAATTATTTTTTTCTACACTTCTTGGTTTTTAATCGTTCCATTTTTTTCTTATCGTTCTCATTGCAGTGGCAAATCGGTGAAACAAGTTTATGGTTCCTCATCTATCGCTGTCTGTGGGCCCTGATTTTTCTCATGATATTTTTGCTGTGTATCGACAATCAATTCGAAAATGGCAAATATTTTATTTTCTATACAAATTGGGGAATGATGTTGTGTTTGGTAACGGAGTTGTTGGGTGCGATACTGGCCCTGCAATGGTATTTTGATGTAGCTGAGGTGAGATCGTCTATATCGGAGGTGTCACAGACCTGTAATAGTCCGAGAATGGTGAGGGCATATTGGCTACTGCACGATTTGGCAATGCCCATTGCATCAGTGATCACGACGGTCTATTGGATGTTTCTGCATGGGAAGATGAGTAAGTGGATTTTTTAAAAAATATTTTTTCAAGGCGTGGATTTTTAAAAAAAATATTTTTTCAAGGCGTGGATTTTTAAAAAATATTTTTTTAAAAAAATATTTTTTTAAAAAATATTTTTTCAAGGCAAAAAAATATTTTTTCAAGGCGTGGATTTTTTAAAAAAATATTTTTCAAGGCGTGGATTTTTTAAAAAAATATTTTTTCAAGTCGTGGATTTTTTAAAAAATATTTTTTCAAGGGGTGGATTTTTTAAAAAATATTTTTTCAAGGCGTGGATTTTTTAAAAAATATTTTTTCAAGGCGTGGATTTTTTAAAAAATATTTTTTCAAGGCGTGGATTTTTTAAAAAATATTTTTTCAAGGCGTGGATATTTTAAAAAATATTTTTTCAAGGCGTGGATTTTTTAAAAAATATTTTTTCAAGGCGTGGATTTTTAGGGACCCAAAACAAAGAAAAGAAAATTAATAAAGTTTTTCTTCCCCTTTATACTGATTTCCTTTCTTTTCTTCTTCTTCTCCCTACAGACAAACCACATCGCTTTCCCGAACTAACGCTAATAACGCACTGCTTCAATTTACTATTCATGCTGGTGGACTTCGTAATTGTTGCATTTCCGGTCCGTTTGGTGCACACCATCTATGCCATGCTAGTGCCGGTTGTCTACTTTTGCTTTAGTGCCATCTACTATCTATGTGGCGGGACGGATGAGTAAGTATATCGCTCGCTACTTACCTTGCATAATTGCTGCAACCTTGTTTTTGTTATGTTTGCTCTCAATTAATAATTCTTTTTCTAATTATGTGGTCGCTTCGTTCTTCGTGTTTTTCATTTTTCTGTTCTCCAGAATCGGTAATCATTATGTCTACCCCTTTTTGGATTGGTCAGAGCCCCTGCAATGTTTTCGTACCTTTGCTGGTATTTTTCTGCTCTATTGTATTTTTTCAGTTCTGCTATTTGGCCTGTACAAGGTGAGGAGATTTTTGCACAAATTATATCGGGGTGATGTTCGGCGGCAGCACAATGATGGTCTGATGGTTTTGTAGCAGCCCTGCAACAAAGTCCAGGGTTTTTTTATTAGTTAATAAGATTAGAATATAAGCATTGTTTGTTGTACTTATTAGATACGGTTACAGTAGTCCGAACAAAGAAAAAAATAGAGAACTATGAATTTATTTAAAAAAATTTAAATAAAATTAATATCAACAAATAATTACAAAAAAATGTATTTCAATTTTCTTAGAACCCTATATGAGCCTGGAACTGGTTAAATATTCTAAAGAAGAAATAAAACATATAGGAAAATATATTCGGAGAATATAGAGCGGATTCTTCAATGAAATATTTTATTTAATACTCCCCGGTACGAATAATGTTATTCGGCAGCCTAAAAGTATGCAACGACTAACGCCATTTCAACAATAAAGTCTGTTATACTGTTATAATAGCTGATGCTATAACAGCACATCGACTTCCAGGAAAAAGTACAAAAAGGTTTTTTTTAATATTTGTTCAAGGACTTTACTAAGCCTGGATTAAAAAAAATATTTTTCATTAACCCATACAAGGCGTCGATTTCTTAAAAAATATTTTTCAAGGCGTGGATTTTTTACAAATATTTTTTAAGCATCTCTACAAGGCGTGGATTTTTACTTACTTACTTAGCTGGCTTGTGACAGAACATTAGTTCCATAAGCCGAGCTTAGGCGGAGATTTCCAGGCGCTTCAGTCTTTTGCGCAGTTTTTCCAATTTCGACAATGTTGTCTTCGACTTGATTTATCCATCGTATTCGTGACCTTCCCCTTCTGGGCGAACCATCAGCTAGTTCGCTTTTATATGCCTTCTGGGTTGGGGCATCTTCAGCCATTATCACAACAAGGCCTGGCCAACGTAGTCGCTGCAGCTCAATACGTCTAACAACGTCGATGTCCGAGAATAGCTGGTACAACTCATATTCACCGTCAACGCAGATCGGCCCATTGATCTGTCGGAAAATATTTATCTCAAGAGCTGCCTCATCTGTTTGCTCAAGTATCCATGCTTCAGATTTATATAACAGCACGGGTAGTATCAGCGTCTTGTAGAGTGTGAGTTTGGTCTGGCGTGAGGTGGCCTTGCTCAATCAGACCATAGTCACATCTGTTAGCCATCACAATCCTTCTCCGAATTTCAAAACTGATGTCATTCGTTTTATTTATGGTGGTACCAAGGTATATAAAATCTTTAACTACCTCGAAGCTGTAGTTCTCAAGTTCCACAGTTGCTCCAAGTCTACAGAACGTCTTGCGCGTTGGTACCATCAGCTAGGTCTTCTCGCCGTTTACTGCCAGATCCACTTTGGCAGACTCCTTCTTAGTTTGTTCAAAGGTGGCTGTAACCGCTCTCAGTGTTCGACCCATTATGCCGATGCCATCGACATAGACGAGTAACATGTGTTGATTGGTGTACAGCGTGCCATTTCTGTTCACCTTTGCCTCTCGTATGACCTTTTCCAACAGGATGTTAAAAAGATCGCACGACAAACTGTCACTGCTGATCGTGTGCCAGTTAAAGGGCTCCTGCATAGCCTATTAATTTTGCTGACCTTGTGCCACTTAAAGTTATCTTGCATAGCCGTATTAATTTTACACGGATAGGGCTGTCGAATGCGGCTTTATAGTCGATGAATAGGTGGTATGTGTCGATGTGTTTTTCATGGGTTTTTTTTCCCGGATTTGACGCAGAGTGAAAATCTGGTCAATGGTGGATTTGCCAGGTCTGAATCCGCATTGGTATGGTACAATAACGTAATTGGCCATTGGCGTCAATCGTTCTCACAGTACGCTGCATAGCACTTTATATGCGATGGGATGGAGACTTATTCCTCTATAATTGGCACATATCGTCTTGTCTCCTTTTTTGTGCACGGGACACAGGATGCTGAGGTTCCAATAATTGAGCATGCATTCCTCTAGCCAAATTGTACTCATCAGCTGATGCATGCTCCTTTCATCTTGGCTAGGTGGTATACACTCTATACCGTCATTTATTATTGATTCTGGGTTATCTTCTTCACCACCACTATTTGATACCAGAAGCTTTTCAAGATGCTCCTTTCAGATACTCAGGACTCTGTCTGTATCTGTCACCAGGTTTCCTTCTTCATCTCCACAGGAGGATGTGCCAGCACCAAATTTTCGGACTTCATTCTGACTCATGTACATCTCGATTTGCTCACGTTCACGCTCTCGTTTATCTTGTTCTTTTTTCTAAAAATACGTTTCTCCTCTCTCCTTTTCTCCCGATAGTTTTCCATTGTATTACGTGTTACTACTGTCCGCAGGGTTGCCCTATACGCTGCGTTTTTCATATCAGTAGCATTACGACATTCCTGATCGTACCACGGATTTCTTGATGGTGGTCTTTGGTACCCAAGTGTTCCTTCTACTGCAGTTTGTAGGGAGTGGGCAATTCTCTGCCACTGTGCTTCTATATTATTATCGGGACAAGGGGTGCTTTCGTCAAGCAGATGGGTAAGTTGAGCGGAGTAGGCTTCTGCTATCTGTTGTGTTTGCAGCTTTTCGACGTCAAATTTCCGTGTTACATTAGATCGCACCTTTGCTGCTACATTAAGACGGGTGCGTACCATGGCTGCCATAAGGTAATGGTCTGAATCGATATTCGCTCCTCGGATAAATCGGACAACACAATCAATTTGATTTTTCGTTGTTCGATCGGGAGAAATCCAAGTGGCCTTGTGTATATCGAGATGCTTGAATCTGGTGCTGCTAACTATCATGTTTTTTGCTGCCTCGGAGTCAGCCTCATGCCGTTGTCTGATATTTCTTCATAGTGGCTGAATTTTCCGACGGTCGGGCCAAAGATATTGTCCCTTCCGATTTTTGCATTAAAATCTCCTAGCAGAATTTTATTGTCATGACCAGGGCAGCGATCATATGCTGTTTCTAGGCGCTCGTAAAATATGTCTTTGGTCAGTTAATCTTTATCGTCGGTCGGAGCATGGGCGCAAGTGAGACTGATGTAAAAGAACTTCGCTTTTATACGGATTATAGCAATTCGCTCATCTAGAGGAGTGAATTTGGAGACGAGGTCTTTTATTATCCATTTCATGGCAGCTATTAGGGCGTGATCATCTGAGTTACTTACGCCTTATAGTTCTTATGGGTGAACTCGCGGCACATATTAGCTCACTATTTCAACGGGTGATGAAAATAGCTGCCCCAGGTGGCACCACGGGAGGTCAGTGTCCACAATTGAGATGAAAGAGGGACCAAGATAAGCCTGGACTTTGCCATGTTAAAGCCAATCAGAGCCGATGCTTGGTATTTATCATCCTCTACGCCATGCCTTGTGTGGATGCCTGAAAAAATATTTTGAAAAAATCCGCGACTCTTGGTCTCGGTTCCAACCTAATGTCCGTATGTAAACACGTGTTTTTTCAGTTGTTGTAGCTGTTTTGATCTTCTATGCTTGATGCTTCTGACGTTGTGGATGATGACGAAGGTTTACCCCAAAAGAAAATAAAGATAAAAATATTTGTTATTTTGCACGATCACTCACCGGAGAGGGAGAGTGAATTTGAGAGAAAAAAAAAAACTCTCCAGAAACTCACAATTGGCAATTACACCTGCCTTCGACTATGCTGATTCTCCGGTGTTCGTTTGTTGGGTTAGAGGCTGGCTGACTGACCTGACTGTTGGTTGGCTGACTGGTTGGTTGTCTGCTATACCAGTCAACAAGTGTGACTCAGTTGTTAGTCCGTGTTTAAGAGTCGTGGTGTGAAGTTACCGACAGCGGTTTCGAGCGGTTACGATTTAAAAAAATATATTTCGATAATCCGCAGATTTGAAATTCAAAATCTGGTCGAAATCGAGATATTACCGTCCTCCAAAGAAAAACAAAAATTAAATGAATTAAAAAAGGTGTGTGTCTGTGTGTGCTTGATGTTACTCCAGATGAGAGAATTGTGCTTAGATGCGGAGCAGATTAACCAAAAAAAAAAAAAAGAAAAGAGTTTTGAATGACCAGTTTTTATTTTGTTTATCTTAGAGAACGGAAGAATTGTTATGAAGTTGTTGTTGTTTTGCTTTTTAATTTGTGTCGAGTAATTGCTTCCGAACCTTGTGGAAATCTCTTTGAAACTGTGTTGCTTTTGTTTGTGTGTCATGTGTAATTGACCTGATTTGCGTAGCACCAGCCAGGTCTTCAAAGTCAAGGAGGGATGATGTCGCTGAACTGTGAAGACCCCCTCTACTCTTGAGAAACGAAGCCAAAATTTTTGACTACAGGTCTCAACAAAGTTTGACCTTTTTTGTGGTAAAGCAAAAAAGCCAAAATTGTATGACGTTGGATCGAACTTCGTACTTTGTACGTTGGTTACATTCAATATTCCAAAATAATAATTATTATTTTTTGTGTTATTATCAATTATTGGCCTCAAGGTAAGCCATGTTATTTACCAGTTATTCGCTGTTTTGTTTTGGGCTTGTTACGCGTGCGCAATGGATTTTAGTGTTGTTGTCGTTATTTTTTTGGATAATGAAAAAAGCAGGTCTGCCCTGCCGTATTAAGGAATGGCCTAAATGGCTAATCAATGATATCATTGGACGGACATTGATGGCGTGCCATTGGAATTCACGTAGCCCACAAAAATAATATTGGCCTGACGCTTTGACCCAGTGAACGTGAGGCGAAGAAAGCAAGACAGACACAGATTTTTTGTTTGTTTGCTTGACACTTGGCTTTGGGAAAGCTTTGGTAAACAAAGCGGTTTTAAAAACGCTGTCAAATATTTTTTTGTGTTATCGATCAACTCTTCTTTTGAATAATGATCGGTTAGGTACGGTCTGGTTGGCTGGTTATATTGCTCGAGGTCATGGGCGCCATTATGTAACAGCGGTGTTATGCTGGGAATGTTTTTTGTGTATGGCTTATTGATCGACCAAACGACCGTTCGACCATAATAAGCCA